GCGGCTGCCTGGCCGGGCCGTGGGGCTGTGATGAGTTAATACGGGTCAGCTGCGGCGTGGCCCAGCCCTGGCACCCCCGGCCCTTCTCCGAGGGGTGCCGGGCTCCGGGGGTGCTTCTGCTTGCGGTAGTTTGTAACTGAGGGATTTTCACCCACTCTCTGGCTCTGTATAGAAGCAACATGAAACCCCCGTGACAAAACCCACTCTTTAACTGGCATTTTACTAGTCTGCAAGCCCGCAAGGGAAAACACAAAAAGTATACTGAAACTCACTGGTATTTATTTTTCTTGTGTTTGTTTAGTGGGTGGAGGGGAAGCTGCCAACTTCGCCGCCTATGCCTTTGCTCCTGCAACTATTGTCACGCCTCTGGGGGCTCTGAGCGTGCTCATAAGGTGATTTATGTGTCTATAGTTTGCCGTTTGCCTTTTTTTATTTGCCTGTTCGTCTTGTAAGATAGAAAGACTTGAAGTGATGTTAATGTGATTTATTCTGCCAAAAGGAAAAATTGTCCCAGTGTTTTCTAAAAAACACTCTAATAGTTGTTGTCCTTTTGGGGGATCATCTGGAAACCACCACATTAAGTAACATGCCCTTCTGGAAATGCTGCATGTGGCTAGCAGCCACATATACTTCAGGTTAAATTATTGCAAATGTCAGTGTTACTTTCTTCTTTATTCCAGCTCTTTAGCCAATTCAAGGTTGGGTTTGGTTTGGTTTTGTAGTGAACAACACTAAAAATCTAAAAGGGTCAAAAATATCAGGCTTCTTTTTAAACTGTCTTTCACTCGCCTTTTATTTTCTAGGCTTTTAAGGTCCTCTGATGTTATGTTTTTATACTTTTATCTGTTGCCAAAAGGGCTGAAACCCTATTTGATTTTGATTTTTTGTTTTTCAAAAGGAGTTTCCTATCAAAATACATGACTCCAGATACTGAAGGTTTTATAGAAGGACCATTATTGTGAAATGCATAAGCAAACTGAGAGCTGGGACTGCTCTGGTGTCTTGCCCCAAATTTTTATGGACAGCAACTAGGTATTTTTGTAGATATATCTATAGCCCCAGTACCTACAGAATTTCTCTGGGGATTAATAGCTCTGATGATTTAGTTAAAATTAATGTAACTCTTTTGTTGTTAGGTTGGAGTTTTTCCCTGTTACAGTGGTCCTTGAAGCCATTCCCTTGGGCACTAAAGGCTTCCTTATGCCCAACAGCTCATGAGTGAATCTGCAGATCTCAAAAATATTTCTGAAGATGTGCTAATACCTTCAGCATTTTTTTACCTTGCTGATACCAGAACTGTGATCTACAGAGCACACCTGCATCTCTGCAGGTTCAGCTGTCAGTAGATGCAGTATGATTGCGTATTAACACACAGGAATCCAAGAAATTTACTCCAAAAGAAGTTGTGTCCTTGTAATCACATGAAGGCATTCTTTACCTTATTTTGGCTGCTCTTCCGTCTTTAAAGGACTTTAAACCACCAGCTGACGTTTTTTCTGTCCTCTGCAGTGCCATCCTGTCTTCGTATTTGCTTGGAGAACGGCTCAACCTGCTGGGAAAGCTGGGCTGCATGCTGAGCCTCGTGGGCAGCACTGTGATGGTGATACATGCCCCAGAGGACGAGGAGGTCACCACTCTGGATGAAATGTCCTCTAAGCTAAAAGAGCCAGGTACACAGGAGGTCGCGTTTTCTCTCTTGGGGCTGGGTAGTGTGTACTGCTCTGTCCCCCATCCCTGCCACTCAGTTTTGAGTTATTTCTCTCCCTCTTCCAGGTTTCCTCACTTACGCTGCGATCCTCTTGGCTATCTGCTTCCTCCTGATCTTCTACCTCGCACCCCGCTATGGCCAGAGCAACATCCTCATCTACCTCACCATCTGCTCCGTTATTGGTGCCTTCTCCGTGTCCTCAGTCAAGGGTCTGGGTATTGCCATCAAGGGCTTCTTTGCTGGCCGGCCTGTGCTGCAGCACCCATTGACGTGGATCCTAGTCATCACGCTGGTGTCATCCATCACTACACAAATTAACTACCTCAATAAGTCCCTAGACATTTTCAACACCTCTTTGGTGTTTCCCATCTACTATGTGCTGTTCACCACCATCGTCATCACAAGTTCCATCATCCTCTTTAAGGAGTGGGTCACTATGACTGTAGTGGACATCATTGGGACAGTTTGTGGCTTCCTCACCATTATTTTAGGGGTGTTTTTACTCCATGCCTTCAAAGACATGGACGTCAGTTTAGGGAATCTACCACAAGTCCTCCAGAGTGGACAGCAAGCACCAATCACCCAAGATGACAAGAACATCCTCATAGAGGTGGACAACTCCAGCATAGCCCCAGAGGATAAAACCAAAGTATTCATGATCTACACCTAGCGCATGATATGCATGGGTCTGAAGGTTGGGTGAATGGGTTGATGTCAACATTCCAGATGCTAATGAGCAATTTAAAAAAGGAAAAGCTGAAAATAAAACCAAGAGTGTCTTATCCAAAGCTTGGTAGAGTCAAGCCAAGGCTTTCTCTGGGCTTTTGGATTGGGTCTTTCCCATGGTATGGCAGCAAGGGGTATATTTATTCCTCACTGGGCTTTAATACATGCAGCCACTGAAAATTAAAATCCTCTTGAAATATGATACTCCTGGGACAAAGCTCCTCTCTGAGGCCCCTTCCCATCTCTCATTCTTGGCAGAGCTAATGTTTACTCTTGTACTCCCTCCCCCGGGTGACCATTGATGTGTTTATTTCCAGGCCCTGATTAAGTCACTGATTAGTGTTTCTGTCTTTTTTTTTTCCTTTCTAGACGCTTGCATGAATGCTAAAATACACACCAGTATCTCAAATGGAAGTGAGAGACAAGGACTGAATGGTGTACGCCTGCTATTCAGACTCTGCTCATCCGTGTTAAATTACTTGCTCGGCAAATATGGGACAAGAATATTGGTGAATATGGGCAAAACCTGGCAAATTTTGGAATAGGCGCTCACTTAAGCTCAGTGGCAGGACCCATGCCATAAAGTGTTTTTACAGGACCATGGCAGAGAAATCTTTTTCAGCTTTTGCTTTTTGTGAGGTGCAGGCGTTTCCCTGCAGCACAGTGTTAATTAGTTTTATGTGGGGTTTTGTTCGTTTGGGCTTTTTCCCTTGGCAGCTATGGTGCCCAGGCCATGTTGATGTGGTTGGTGAAGCCACTGGGCCTGATCCAGACCTCACTGAGCAAGGGGCAGCCTCTGCTCAGGCTGGGAAGCTGTGGCAGGGTAGACTCTGTGTCAGGAGAAACACTGCCACCATCTTCAAGACTCTTTGTGGTCTGTGGAAATCTTTTCAGCATGGAAGAGCAAGTGGCTGTAAATTTTAAGGTTTTTTTCCTTAGCAAATGTCTTGACCTTGGAGAGCCCCCCAACTCTTTGAGCCCCATGACCTCTCCTGCTATCATTTAAGCCCAAAGGCTTTGTTGTTGTTGTTGTTGTTGTTGTTTAGAGGGAGGTATGAGCTGTGTGTTAAAAGCCAACCAGGCGTAAGTGGGTGATGCTCTGCAGAGCTGTAGGGATGCAGTTTGTCCTAGAGCGGTCCCGTTCACCCCTGTCTCAGTATAGTATGGATGTTAACTGGACTCTTGCTCATCGCTCACCTTCAAAACCCCCTCGGACTTGTATCAGTGGTGAAGATGAAGGGATGAGAGAAATAACATTTTGAGCTGGAGGGTGAAAAAGGCAGGCATTACCACAGTTAAAAGTTTCTCCCATCTTGCTGCTGGGAGACAGCAAATCCCAAAGAGGGAGCGGCGAAGCCTGAGCCGGCTTTGCCACGCTGGCTCACTCCGGAGGCAGCTCTGGCTGGGTTAGCCCTGGACCACAGCACACACTGATGCGGAGATGCTGACCTGGTTATACCTGGGTCTGAGCAAATGCGGGCTGGGGTTGGGGGGAGAGATATATGCAATCTCTTATTTTAATAACATTTCAGTACTTTTTTTGGAACGTGGAATGGGAAATAAAGGCTTTTCCTGAAAGTTTTTGATGATTTCTCTGATCTTATTGGTGTAGCCCTAAAGGCTAAACAGGCTGAAGGACAGCAGAGTACTACACCAGGAAGAGCATCTGAGGCAGAGAGTAAAACAGCAGCGACCTCCTTTGGTAGCAGAAAATAATCCAAGTAATTCACTCTATCTTTGTTTTTGGCATCCCAACTGGTGTAATACTTTATGCATTTTATTTTAGAAACCGATTGTAAACAGGACTCATCCTTCCCACTGCTTTGAACTGCATCGCATAAAAGCCATTCCTCCAGCTATCCTGCCATCTCTGGACAAATGCCACATATAAAATGAAGATTTGAACCAAGGTAACAAAATAACAGTGACAGAATATTTATTAATGACAACCGACAAATTTATTAAAACTGGGCAAAAGGCACAATGAATTGCATTCTTCAAGTATTTGCATAGATGCACAGAGAGCATTATTGTAAACCATTAATACGTGGACACAGGAGAAAGTGAGATGTATTTTGGTATATGTTCTCCCAAGTAACATTATCTTTCAAAAAATTAGGTTTTACCATCTTTTACTCCTCCTGCAGTTCCCCTATTCTCATACACTCAATTTGCACACACATGAAAATTTAAAAGGACTTACTTAAAACTACCTTTTGGAGACTTTATGATATCCCAGCAATAAAGTTTTCCATTAGGGCCTGGGCACGTCCAATTGTTCTCTGAGCTTTGTGTGTCTGGGGGGCATCTTTTAAAAGCTTGATCCCATGCTCACATGAAATGCAGTGAAAATATTCTTAGTGCTTTTTGATGGCCATCTGATAAAGATGCTGCTGTCTTCAGTGAGGGCTCAGATGTAAGATCAAGTTCTTGTTGAATCTGTACTACTGCAGCATGTGTACAGTATGTGCCCAGTTTACTGCTCCACCTGTGAGCAGTAACACATGCCATTACAGAGGCACATGAGCTGCACCCTAAGAAACACCACATTTGGGGGTTGTCTGAATAGATAGGTTGTTTATATATAATATACCCCAACTATAGAAAAAGACATACAAAGATTAGAAAGCTGAAGTCTTTCACTTGCCATCTCTTATTTGAGAGAGTATTTTAGGTTGGTTTGTTTTCCAAGTATATAGAACCTAAGAAAAGGTCCAAAATGATCAAGATAAGGAATAATCAACCAGAAATTCAAGACACACCCTGTGTACTCTTTTCTTGTGGAGAAAGAGGTAGTAAGGTTGCAAAAACTACTGTGGTTTAAATCATCCTACAAAAACATTGCTACATATAACTACAAGTTTAATGAGTGCTCAGGGTTTATCTGGGTTGTTTTTTTCACTCGGTAGAGCTCAGGGAAAGAAAATCATCAGACAAGACTTTTTTTCTTTATGCCGATAATACACTTTTCACATGTGCAGCAGCAATCACACTGTTTGAGGATTTGTCATAATAAATCAGCCACGACAGAGTTGTTATTGTAACCATAGCTCCAGAATTCCCTGGGTTGTCCCAGGAAATCATTTCAAGGGAGGGGGGGGGGGAAGAAAAACTTTGGCATAACAAAAGGTCTTCATTTAAAATCCTGAGAAAAAATGTACAAAAGGCTAAACCGTTAGGAGGAAAAAACCCAAATTCATAAGGGAGGGTCCTTGGGGTCAGAACCATCAGCTGCTTAAAGTGCACACAGACAGCTCTCTCCATCTGCATCCTGCAGAAAAACCCCTGGAGTAAATGAGCTGCCCTACAAAAGCACCATGTATCACGTTAATATTTCTGCTGTCTTACCACCTGGGCAGTTTTAAGGTAGGTTTCTCACTGGTATGGGGAGCAGACAGCCCGTGCTGAATTAGGGCTCAGCACAGACCAAAGCCTGAGGAGACATGTGCAAAAGTGTCTACTGATTATCTGCGGTACCGTATGCTGGAGAGGAGGTTTCAGCACTGCCCTTTGCTGAGCTTCCTTCTGGCCACTGGCTCGGTGTTTTGGCCAGAGGGTTTCCCTGTCGTACCTCGCCCGTGTCCCGGTGGCACGGGGGAGAGCGCAGAGGCCACGCTGGGGCTGCTGCCGGGTCTGACACACCGAGGCAAGACAAGCGAGTGCTGGAGGACAGACAGGTTGCAACGCTCTTGCTGAAGATGGCTATATGGGAAAAATAATTAATCTGCTCTATTAAAGCTAATAAAAATCCACAAATTATGTGAGCCACAAATTATTTTAACCAGGAATATGTCCATGGTTTGGTCCCTGTTGTGGCCCCACTTGTCACCCACTGTAAACTGAGAATAAGCTGAAGAAAGTTATCAATGGCTGCCTTCTGCTCTCCCAGGAGGCAGCGGCTTCTGTATAGCACCAACGTATGCTCCTGCAGCTGCACGGACGGGCTGAGGAAGCCAACAGCTCTGGGTCTTACCTGAAAGCCCATCAGGGCAAGCACTCACAGCTTGTTCTCCCTGGTAACACTTAAATAACTGATTGAAAACATGTGAAACCCCCATCACCCCATCCCTGGGTTGGATATTGCACAATAATATTTAAATACCGTATAAACAAGTCATCCCTATATGGAAAAGGTTCTCGGCAGAGAGGGTTGAGCTCAGCTTGGCATGTACCGGCGCAGTTCCCGGGGGCACTCCTGCCAAGCCTGACCGCAGCTTGTTGAGTCACATAGGAAACTGGTGAGGGTAGAGGAGGTGAACCGAGACAGTCTGTGGCTGTGAATGTTTTTTTGGGTGATGAAGGCCATCCAGTCTCCATGAAGGTCAGAGCCACCTGGCAACAGGCTGCTTCATGAGTGCCCGTGGGAGCCCAGCTGTCCCACTTTCAAGACATTCACCACTCAAGCCGTCCCAACACCATTCTGGGTGAGATGGAAAATGGAGAAGAGAGGGGTGAGCACTGATGAAAGAGCAAATGCTGCCCTCTCCCACTCCTGGAGCTGACAGGGCAACCCTGTTTCTGTTCACATGCACTCACACCCTAATGCATCACATAGGAAACTCTCCCACCAGGGTCACAATGAAGTTCATGCAGTTTTTTCAATTTTTCACAGCCAGCCTCAAGAATGTTGTCAGCTGGAGACAACACCTATGTATGTGGAATGGAGGTGTTTTGTGTTAAGGAGTCCAACTTGCAGGGAGCTGAACTCAGTGAGTCAAAATCCCTTACTAATGGTCCTTATTAAGGACAATTTTGGGAAACAATCCCTGCAGAGAAAGCATCTCCTTAGCCATGTCTAGAGAGGGTTTCTGTTCCTTACTGGGGTCCTCAAGCCTTGTGTGGACCTTCTTGTTTTGCTGCTCTTCACTAACCAGCCTGGGTCACACATCCCCTTGTTGCTCAGCCCCACTCACACAAATATTTTAGCTGAGGAAGTGCTCAGGG